TTGGACAGCGCCGAGTCGTGGCTGCTGTTGAGCTGCGACTTGACGGACGGCTGCTGCGGCTGGCCGCCCCCGCCCCCGCCGCCGCTCTCCGCGCCGCCCTTGCCGCCGCCCGAGCGCGAGCGGTACCCGTGGAAGCCGCTGTCGCTGTCGTCGGCGCTCGCGTTCAGCAGCGACGAGATGGAGGACACGCTGGGCCGCCCGCTGCGGTGCTCCTCCCAGCTGCAACACACACAGCGCGTCATGTCGCGGGACACTCTCTTCACAACAATACTTGTCTACTTGGCTGCCCGGGGGACGCCGCATCGTCCTAGGCACAAGTGCCAACGTTTCTGCCCATTCTGCAACCTCCCTTGGTGCGAAATGCGTGGACATAGACTGCCTATGAGTTTATGTGACGAAGGCCGTCGAACTTTTAGCCCGGAGAAAGGTCGCAGAATGGCGACCGAAACGTTGGCACCTGCGCCTAGAACACGGCGTCTCCCAGACAGCCATGTAGATGCGGGCTCCCGTCGAGGAAGCCTACACTCGTAGATAACAATACTTATTCGCAAACAACAGATTCGTGAATGCTACAAATAGGAAGTTAGTATGAAAAACCTTTCAAATTTGTAATATACGCGGAACTTTTCTTGTCCGATGGATTGGATAAATTCGGGTACAGTGGGATAATTTGTTTTGAATTCGGCCACTGGATGCTATGAAACAATGTCAATATCTTGAATATCAGACATGCATTGAAAAGTTTTCAATAATTTGGTTCTTTCTCAGAAGTTCGAGTTATCTTCTGTGATAGATCTGGACCTGATTTGACCTTTTTTTTAAATAGATTTTTTGGAGGAAAACATGAACAGAAGTTATCATCCTCAACAGCAAATAGTTTTTATTACGTGCCAAAGATGTGTTTGGAATTTCATCAGTGTTCGCTGCGAGCGTTTACCTTCAACAGTTTATTGTGCTTGAGAGGGGGGAAGATTGGCCGTCGGTCAAGAAAAGTTGTGCGGGTAATATTCATATTTATGCAGCAAAATGGTCGTTTATTACATAACTACATCCAAAGAATTAACTTAACAGTGCATAATTCACATTTCAATTGAATATTACTCTTTATACAAACACGTTCTCTCCAACCACGCTAACATGCACGAGTTAAAGATTTATCTAAGTAGGCATTGAATGTTTAAGCTCTATAAACTCGTATTTTACGCATGGAAAATAGGACTTTAAAGGGCAAAAACTACGCGGTATAATTTCACCAGTGTGTCACAATTGTTTTTATGAACATTATATTTAATTACAAACTGATTTATTAAAAATATAAACATATACTGCAAAAAATAGGCACAAATACAACTGTAAATACTTTCGCAAAGCAAGTATAATTTTCTTTACTTGAACTTATTTTGTCTGAAAAATACCTTGTAATTTCAATAATTTCATTGCTGTAATTTTTTGTTAGAATAACAAAGAGAACGCTATTAATTTTATGTTCCACTTTCAATGCGGAGCACGGTCAGGGTAATCTGGGATTTTTATTAATAACAGAATTCGGCTTCAATATCAATCGCTGCACAGAAATGCTTTTGAATTTTTATCCTTTTTTTCTGTAACACTCTAAAGGAATTTTATGCTTTCACAGGACTAATAAGCCACTTTGGACTCTGACGATGAAGTACTGAGCAATGTAGACTCTATAGATCTTGTTTCTTGATTACAAAATTTTATGGAATTTTTTTCATAATTTAGATTGCCATCAGAAAAGTAAAATATGCATTCGACTAAAAATCTAACTTTAAAGATAATTCTCATTTCACATAAATTTCCAAATAAAGATATTTAGATTCATGGAATTTGAATTAATCCATGAGATACGAAATGACACGAAATCGTAATAGCGTGACACACGTTGTAACATTAGATACAGATAAAATGTACTTGTAACCTCAATTATTAACTTAATTTATTATGTCCAGAATCAAAAGCCAGAACTACAGCATCATTACTTTGAGTTAGAATTAGCATTAGAAATACTTAATGACGTCTTTTCATTCGGAGAAAATCCCGAATTGAATAAAATAAGAAATGAAGCACAAGGATTCAGTAGATTGCTTGTACTATGATTATAAACAATGAGACAAAAGTGAAGTACTCTAATGATTAATCACACTAGTATCGTCTACGCGCAGGAAATTATATCTTATTTGGAATTCGATCTGTGCTGGTGATTCATCATTTGTTTCGTAAACCAGTTTCGCTATTTCAAATATAGTAAAAGCATGTATCATATTTTTTTCACATGATACTTTATGCACTTTGTTGACTTTTTTTAGCAAAAATCCAATTGTAATAAAGAAATCAAATTTGCGGAAATTTCCACGATAGACGAAAATCTGTTTTAATGTGAGGAATATTACGGATATATTAAACAAACAAAATTATCACTGAATTCTCAAATTCATCGTCATTGTAAGATGACAAGACGATCAGATCATTGCAAAAGATACATTTATATGAATCGTTATGTTTTTGAGACGCTAAATCTCTCGGATTTCCGACAAAAAGATTCCAGATTGTTAATGCTGAGAAGAAAACAGTAAAAAAAGGAAATATTTTGAAGAAATTGATCATCTTGATGAGAAATTACTACAAGTTCATCCTTTAATAAGATTTTAGATCAACTGAGAAATAATAACAGTAAAATAACATGATTTATATCTCAAAGCCCGAGTTCTGTGTAGTTCATGTACATATTGAATTAACTTTAATATTCTTCTATCACACTATTCACACACGTATTCCGTCAAATTGTTCACTT